TCTTTTAAAAAATAAATTTAGTGTTGAGAAATTCGTATTTTTAGATGTTCGATGTTATGTTTATAAAATAATAATTATATATATGTGTGTATGTTATTTATTTCTTTCCCCTTTATTTTTACATACTTATCTTGATAATATTTTTTTAAGATTAAGACTGTTTCCCTGATTCCTACAGCAAAAAAAAAACTTTAAAATGCTGGTGGCAATATTTTAAAGAGTGCATCTGATCGAAAAGAAGGTGAATGACGTCAACTGTTCGAAAATTCGATTCTTGCAAATTAGCAAGTGGAAGAAGAAGTTTACAAAGTTATAATTTATAAAACTTAACACAATTATATAATAAAAAAATTTAAATGATTTATTCTTTTTTTCTTATTCTCAAGAAGTTCTGTGAAAACATAAATTTGAACCTTACGTTTAAGTAAAGCCATGTTAGAACACGTATTTTAGACGTCTAAATTTGGTTATTTAAAGACGTCGTTCGGCGTTTCCATTTAGCACTAGTTCTGGACGTCCTAAATTCACGCCTTTTAGACGTTTAAAAACACGTCTTTATTCCGTCCTAAAAAGACGTCCTAATTACGTCTTAAAAAGACGTCATCTGGCGTTGCCATTTAGAACTAGTTCTGGACGTCCTAAAAAGACGTACTTTCGACGTCATATGGACGTTGCCGTGCCCGCTGGGTTGTGATGATAAAGCTAACTTTTGCTGAACACCCAGTTATATAAACGGCACAAATAGTTTTAGATTTTAAAAGTAGTGGGTTAAATCTTATGACTATTGTTTAATTTAAAAGTTAATGAACTTATCAAATTATTTTTCATAAAAATTGAAATACTTATCTATAATATTATCTCTACCGACAGGTTACTTTTTATATCAACTGATTAGGACAAATAAATTGCTTTCGGCAGATAATAAATAAACAACCAATAAATGTCATAATAATAACGTACAATGTTCCAAAAAGATCCACATAATCAAACATAAACGCGGAACAACTCAATGCTAATAAAACTCCAGTAGAATCCATTGTAGATCGAATACTGTCTGCAAATGTTAGTATATTTGGTTTTATCATTTTAGCAAGTGTGTTCACAAAAAAAACGTCGGTAATTATTGGTGCACCACCAAAACTAAGCATATATACAATGCATAGGAAAAAATTTAACACTTTATTATCTGGGTAATGTGAAAGAATAATAAAGCTTGCACTTACAACACTCAAACCAAATAAAACAATTATCAATAGTATTATTAAATTATTATCAGAACACGGCTTTCTAATGAAAACTATCAAAATAAATACGCAAAAACCAGAAGCTCCAAAAAAACTAATGTTCATTTCGATCATGGAAAGATTCATTTTTTCTATAACCAACAATGGTAGCCATATATCAGTGTTAACAATAAAAAATGAAAGAAATAAGCTGGAAAACAACAAAAGTGCTGAGTTAAAATTCACAAATAACACTTTTAAAATATGAAATCCAGTATATTTCTTTGATTGAGGTTTGGGATTATTTTGACTTATATTACTGTTTTGGATCAACTGCATATTCTCGGGAATCATTGGTAGTTCCACGGTAAATTTCGGTAGTTTTTCGTGAAACTCATTCAGAGTTTGTTCGTTTTCGATAAGACAATATAAAAAAGCTTTTTCATCTTTAGAATCGAATTCCTTTGATACATTGTGGACCATTGTTACTGTTATTATTTCCATAAAGAGACATAAAAATCCCAAAAAAAACCCTGGGAAATTGACGTATCGGAGCTGCAAGCCGCCTATAAAAAAGTTTATGTTTTTAAAAAATAAATTAAACACTGGACCTATTGTAAATCCTAAATTATACATTACTGATAAAATTGACAGTTTTGAACTTGTTTCAGATGCAGAGTAAATTCGAATTGTTTCGCTATAAACTACAGATTTCAACGAACCACCAAAGCCGGCTATAATTCTCCCTCCAATTAAAAAGTAAGGGGAAAAATGAAGACAGTAAAGAAAATTTCCTATAAACATAAGTAAATTGTTTGTTAAGAAGCAAGCTTTAACATTTCGACTTTTATCGACTATTCTTCCAACAAATGGCGTTGCAATTATAGAAGCCAGCATGTATGACACGGACACAGCACTATAATAAATTTTTGGCGTGTTTGTGTTAATCATTTCATTAATATACGACCATAATGTCAAAAAGGTCATACTGTATTCCATTCCAATTACAAATAATTGCAATGAAAATGCTATAAATGTACATTTTCTTTTCAGGAGCCGTCTGTCATTGTGTTTCATATTCAAATTTATTAATAAAAAAGATAATAAATAAAGTTATTATCATTGTTATTCTTGTCTTTTACCATATTTGTTATTATATTTATTAGCGCTCTCGCTAATCATAAATTAGTGTTCTCGCTAATCATAAATTGTTAAATCTAGATTGTTGTCAACAGGAACGACGACGTTATTTGTTTATATATTTTTTGATTACGAAATTTTAATACAAAACTTTAATAATGTAGGGGAGACCGGGGCTAGTTGGCCGCAGGGGTAAGTTGACGAATTGCGTTTATCTTTAAAGCCTTTCATCAGAAAGTGATAAAAATTACACAGAATCTTCCTAATTGACTGTTTCATCATTCAATGTAGTATTGTCAGGATTCGCGCATGCGCATGGGAGATATTAAGATTTAAGTGTTTTTTGGACAAAAACGTAACTTTTGAAACATCGCTTCCTTTTTACTTTACAAAGAAAATAGTTAGTCAAATGGAAAAAAAGTTATTGTAAAAGTTCTAGCCACAATTGGTTTACTATATTCAGTTTGACTTTTTTTAAAAGTTGCCGTTTTTCAGGATCTATAGACTGTTTATTGAAAAAAAAGCCTTCGGGGTAAGTTGACAAAATTTTTACGGGGTAAGTTGGCTCATAGCATTTACTATGGAGAAAAATATTTATTTTTATAAAAATAATTTTTTTAATTTTTTTAATTTTTAACAATATTGAAAAAACTTATTCTTACAAAAAAATTATAAAAATTTTTTTTTTAGGTTTTTTGTAACAGGTAAAAAGAGGGCTGCTGTTTTGGCTGTTATACGTCCTTATATTTAGCACAAGCTAAAAATAATATCAAATTATTAGCTTAAATTGTTGCTAAAATTAATAGGTAAAAAATTTCTATTAATTTTGCACTTAATAGTACATTAATAATCACGTTTATAGTTTGCGTCAACTTACCCCGTGGTGGGGTAAGTTGGCGCAATTTTTTTTTTTTTTTTGAGGGCCCCGTAAGGCCCCAAGAATTTTTTTTTGTAAATCCATGAAACTTTTATAAGTTACCCAAGTTCATACGCTTTGAGACTACACTTTAATATTTTCAAAAAAGTGTGCTATTAGGGCTACAGAGCTCATAGAGTAAAAACCGAGCCAACTAGCCCCGGTCTCCCCTATTTAATCTATTATCTTAAAACATTAATTTCAAATATAATCCATCACATTATGTACTTACTATTTTGTCTATACGAACCTTGTTAATATTATAAATTATCCACAAAATTACTTTGGTGATGTCACCCTTTATCTTATATCCAGTAAGGATCTATTAATAAATTTACGTTCCTAACCAATACGGGTTATAATATTTACATAAATTGTATTGACAAAAAAAAAAATTGTTTATATAATTTATAATTTCGGAGTGTTTATTTGCACGTTTTTCACGTGCGAATAGACTATATTTAATTATAATCTATTCGCACGTTAATTAAAAAAAGGTAAAGATGATCGAATTTAAGGGGAGTTAAAAAAAAATTAGATTTATTATTATTGGTTTATAACTTTAAAATTAAACTAGCGAAACGGAGAACTAACACAGTACTTACGTTGGTTGACTTTTGAAGGATTTGCGCACCGTAGTGTATATACATATTGACTGCTTATCTAGGGGTATGCACAGTGTAGTATAAATACAATGACGAGTGTTTTGGCTTGCGCAGATACTTTTTTAATTAAAAAAAAGAAGTATTTTTTAATGTTTACTTTACCTATTGGCACGTATTGGTTGTTTTTTGAATAAAAATTTAATTATGTTTAAGTAATTTTATTCATTTTATTATAATTGATTAAAAAAATTAAATTGCTTTCAAAATATATGACTTAAGTTATAAACATTTTTTGTTTGTGAGAGGTTATATATTTAAAAACCAACTTAAATTTTTTTTTTAACGTGTGAATAGACTATAATAAGATATTGTCTATTCACACGTGCGTGCGAATAGACTCACCCTTATAATTTACATAAATTACGAGTGGAATGCAAGAAGCAAACTTGAGTCAAGCTCGACTTGAACTTTACATTATAACTAATAGCGACAGAGTATGGGTTTTCCCCTCAAAAAATACTCTGCTGCTATTGGTTACAAAATAAAGTTCAAGTCGAACTTGACTCAAGTTTGTTTCTTGCATTCTTACGTATTATAAAAACATCACGACAGTAATATTTAAATAATGCAATTAATATTTTAATGTCTAAATGGTTGTTAATTAAAAACATCAATGCTGCATTTCTAAAAATTAAAAAAGAACATACCGATATTTTAAAGCACAAAAATGCTATTTCCACGTTTTTTTAAATTGTGATAATGGTATGCACGAATTAGTGAAAAGTAGAATCGATCGAACACAAGTACAATCGATCACACGCATGACACTAATGTTGCTAAAGTTGAAAAATTTGCAAAACTAGATAAGACTGCTTTGACTCAATTGTGTGCTATGATGCAAAAGTAGCGTAGTTGTAAAACACTCTGCTTATAACCAAGAAACTTTGTTCAACCTGTTTGACAAATCTGGTTAGGAAAATTTATAATTTATTATAAACTTTCCTAACCAGAGTTATGGGTTTAAATTTCAAAAAAAAAAACTGTAAACTATTAGACTTTAATGGTTTAAAGCTTTTATAACAATTAAATAGTTTTTAAAGTTTTTTTTATTTTCTACATTTATATTAACGTTTTAAAATATTAACTTTGGTTAAAAATATTTTGATGTTCAATTTAAAACTCGTTTATTTATTACACCCTTGCCTCCATTATAATGAGCAATAGGACTGAGTAATATAAAAATATATATAATTTAAAAAAAAGAGCAGAGTCTTTAACTGTAATGGTCCCACAGCTCACAGGTGATTAGCTTAGCATTGTTGTTTCTGTTTGAGCCGAGTTTTTGTTACTATGGTTTCTTTTAGACACCATACCTTTTGGACACCAATGGCATTCCTCATTTAACCTCAGTCCAGGTTCTTATATAAAACTTTAACAAAAATGATTTAAATTGTTTCTTTTTTTGATCGCTTATTAAACAACCTATTTTGATTGGTTAAGATTATTTCATATAAAAATAAAAAAAATTAGTTTTAAAAATCAGACAAACAAAGTACACAATAGATTAGCTCTCAACAGGAGTTTTTATTTAGTACACATGATTCAATTAGAAACAAACTATTCTTAATATACATGCGATTGCTAAAATATCTAATCTACAAACGGCTAATCCTTTCCTTGCAATTCAGTATATAACAAAAATATACAAGGAATAAGAAAAATTAAAATTTAAAAAAATCACCTTTATTATCTTTATAATATAAATTTATATTTTTAAAGAATTTTTGCTTTTTCTAAGAAGCGTCTTGATGTATTGCTTTAACTTGTATTACCAAACCAAGGACAAAGATTTCGAAGTGAAGGGGTACAATTGTTAATTTCTATGACATATATATTTAGGTTTGGGAATACCGGGATCCCGGGTCCCGGGATACCGGCTTTTGGAACAATTTATAGTTGCAGAAATACCGATATTAAAAAAGTCGAATACCCTTATTTCGGTATTCAAAATAATTTAACCATTCGAAATAATTTCAGCATTCGAAAGCTTAAAAAGTTTAAAGTTTTAATTGATCTTATATATGGAAACAAAATTCATCACCCAAAATTAAATGTGGGTATATGATATTGGTTATTTTTAGTTAAATTAAAATATTACATAAAATTCCAAACGTAAGTTAAATTATATATTATAAATTATACATTTTATTATCGTGTTTCAAAATTTAAGATAATTTGTATTTTACACCGATATGAATATTTAAGGTTTTAAGGAGTATTCCAAAGTAAATGATAAAAGTTCATCATGGTTTCATTTTGTAAGAGAAATAACAGGACAGTGCGCTGAATGCAAATTGTGTAAGAGAATAATAAAAACACACGGAGGTTCTACAAGCGGTCTTTATACCCATTTAAAAACAATTCATAAAATCAATTTGATGTAGGTAGTCCCACTGTTTTAGATTCTTCAGAATTTGTACAGATATCAAAACCTTCTGTAACTATAAACAACTTTTTTAAAAGTGATAAAATAGATAATTCATTACCAGCTATTTTAGCTAGGATGACTGCGTTTAATGGTTTATCATTCAACATTATTTGCACATTATATGATATCAGAAAAGGCTTAACAGCCAGAGGCTTTTCTAACATACCAAAGGATCACAAAATAATTCACAAAATGGTCTTGAATTACAGTAAAAATATGCGAGACGAAGTAATTAAAGAATTATTGAGCAGAGTTGCTAATGGAAACAGGTTTTCTCTAAATTTTCAATGAATAGATATCATTAAGAAAAAGACGTTACATAATTATTAATGTCCACTCTGACAAAGAATTTTGGAATCTAGGATTAATTTGTGCTTTTGGAACAATTCCCAAAAAAAAATGTGTTAAGCTTGTCAATAATAGGTTAGGTGATTTTAAGCTTTCGATCAAGAATATTGTAGATATTACCACTAATAGTTAAAGTTATGACAAAGGTTCTGCAGGATAATCGAAGCAAATCAGCAGCTATTTTTAGCGCATGGAATTCAGTTGGCTGTTATCGGCGTACTCCACAAAAAACTTAATAATGAGGATAGTCTGCATAATTAAAAAGATACCAACGTTACATCAGTTCCTACACCCAGATTTGAAAAAGAGCAGAATTCCACAGATGACGGCGAATTAATTGATGGAAGATTATGAAAATGAAAATGATTTACTCATAACCTCCACTGAAAACAATGATGATAATTCTTCTTTTCTGGTACATCAGCAAACGTTGCTATTAATTAAAAAAGTTCAAAAAGTGGTCAAAATATTTCGTTCTTCACCTACAAAAAATAACAAAATCTTACAAAAATATGTAAAAGAAGAGTTCGGGAAAGAATTGTCTCTTTAGGTTTTAGACTCAAAAACACGATGGAATAGTTTGGTGTTTATGATAGAACGTTTTGTCAAATTAAAAAATTGCATCAAAAAGAGTCTAATAGATTTAAAATCACGTATTTTGTTTTCAGATGCAGAGTTTAAAATGTTGCCAAATATCCTTTCAGTTTTACTTTTTATTAAGCTTACAGTTGAAGCAATCTGCCGACGAGATGCAACTTTGTTATCTGTAGATGCTTCTAT